TACGTACTTCTTCGTAATGAATTACTATCTGATGTTTAAAGACATCTGGTTTTTTATTTTCAATGTCATGGCGGCATCTTGTATTTAATTAATTGTTGATATATACTTTCAAATATTGTACTGTACTTTCATAAAATTGTTGTTTTATAGACAAAATTTTTAAGAAAATCATTAAGTGTTTGTTTCAAGATATTAATTTTTCTCTTCAATTCGATAACAATCGTATCCATTGGCTACTAATATTATAAATGCGAAAGTTCGGATGGGTGGATGAACGGATTTATTAAAGTTTGTTGCCTAAACGGCTGATCGGTTCTCGATGTTTTGTGTGTCGAACTTGGCAAATATGTACAGAATAGTCTGAAAGAACACATAGTCCCCTTTTTTATTTCCACGCGATCGTAGTCGCGGGCGAAAGCTAAAATTTGTATAATAATTATTACCATATATTTGTATCAAAAGAAAACAATGGTTTATTACACAAAAATAGATTATTTTAAAATAAATAATATAATAGAATTGGCGAGCCGTCAAATTGTAAGCGTCAATATGTCAAGAGATAATCAACTGCGCAGATTCTTATATTTTTGCCAATTATTCGCACGGCTTATGTCAACGACATTTTTCACGGTCGACCTCCAAGTGTTACTGAGATTATTATTGCAACAAAATGAAAGATGGTGGGCGGAAAACAAAGTGTCACCGATCTTATAGGCCACAAGGTGTGGGATTTACATTAATTACTCCAGCCTAGAAATATGCAAACACATTCCATGATTGTATAAATCTTATTGTCAAATGTAGACTAATCGAGTTGTCTCAACGCGGTGTTTGTATTGAAATAAATGTAAAGGCGATTAGTTAAACATAAAAAACGAAATTTTACTTTTAACCTTGTTCAGATGTTACGTCTAAGACATTGTGAATTAAAAAAATTATAAACACATGTTGTATGTATAAACTATGATTTTCATACATTTTGTTGGCGACAGAGAAGGACATTGCAGTGTAACTGACCTACACAACACTGCAACATATTATTGCGCGGCGAATAGTTTGTCGCAAATGGACTATAAGGCATAAATATTTTTATCACCAAATGTAATGGAAACATATTCATTATTCGAAAATAATGTATCCAAATTTTCCTGAAACGATGGAAAACAAAAGCTTTTTAATTATTTATTGAGGCAAGCCAACATAATCGTATATCCAATAACAATGATTTAAAAATTATAATGAAACTAGCTTTAAGCCGCGACTCCTTCTGCGTGGAATTAAAAAAATAAAAGTGAGTAGCCTATGTGTTCTTCCAGACTATCCTCCACATCTATACCAAATTTCATCAAAATCCATTCAGCCGTTTAGGCTAACTCTAACAAACATCCATCCATCCATCCATCTAAACTTTCGCATGCCAATGAAATCACTGTAGCATAACAAAATTATAATTAACCAAAGTATGCTCGTAAAATAACAGAGCGAGCTGGCGGCGTACTGTGGACGCCCTCGGCCCCACTTCGGGGACATAGGAATAGAAGATGCTCGTAAAATAAAAAAAAATGAATTATTGCAATAAATAATTTTCGTTTTAAAATCTAATAAAAACGTTACTATTAAAAATTAAATAGGAATACTCAAAGCAATTTCAGCTTTACGTTATTTAACTTCAGCGCCATCTGTGATCGGATAGCATAACTATTTTTAGTTACAATGTCCAAAAGTAAAGTTGTAAATCGACATTAATTATTCCATTTTTTTATTAACTGTAATTTAAAATAAGAAACTTTAAAACGGTACATCTATTATTTGTTTTTACTACGAATAAGTATAATCCGTAATAGAAATTTGAAATATATTTTTCAATTTAAAAATTACTGACTATACATGAATTAAAACTAAGAAATGATATAATTAAAAAAAAACTTACATTAAAATCTCACTAAAGGTCTCGTACAGAGATACACTAGAAACGCGGGGAAATTTGAAACGTTCAAATAATCTTCAACTGGAAACAAAACACTGGAGGAGGCACGTCTTCGATAACTGTTGAAAGAGGTTTGAATTCTCACTCCACCGTTACCCAAGTCCTCGTAGACGTGGGTTAATTATATTTATTACGAAGCTGTGTCCGTAAACATTCCCAGACGACCGACACTTCAAAGAGATCAATCGCTATTTAGGGGATCGATAGTCGAGCGACACGTAGTTGACACACCTTACAACATTAGCGGAAAATTAGAAAATAATAAACTACGTTAAACGATTTTATATTAAATGAAAAGTAAATAAATTCTTTTTCAATAAATCACAATAACAGAATTCATTATCTAATAAATCAGTTTATTAAATAATTCAAAGTTAATTTTCCAAGCAAATTAGGCAACTGCTTTTAGCTTCAGTTATCTGCACGATATAGTCCACACTTCAGATGCACGCTCAATAAATCACTGATCGTAATTGTAAAGGTTATTAATAATTTAAAATGAGGATTATGAAAATAAAATTTAAGACAGTTTTCAATTCCTGTTTATTGTTATTGACTTATACCATTCACAATTAAACTTTATTATTGTTTGATATTTGTAAAATAATAACATCTAAGTTTATTATTCTAGCTATCGTTAAAGGAAGATAGTTTAATTTACAATAAACAAAAGAGAACCCTACATCCTTCTTTATATAATAGATTAAAATATTGAAATTGTTAAAACTCGACACACCCAGAAACATACTTTGAAACTAGTAGCCTTTACCGGACTTTTACTTAAAGTAAATTGCCGTTTTTTGTAAGATAATCTTTTTAACATTTAACAGACATTATTAGTTAATTAACTTACCACAAAAAAGGTTTTCTTTTCACTTTTTTAGTCTGTGCAGAGTTTAACAACTAGCGCGTCTGAACGTTGATCGTGTAAGGGCGCGCGAATTTCCCGCGCTGGGCAGCTTCGACCGAATGGCGGACAAGGTGTGAACGATTCTGCACACTACTCTAACTGTACCAAAAGTTTATTTTTAACTAAAACTAAAGTAATTTATTAGGCGAACGTGGTAAATGGTATGGAATGTTCAAATATAGAAGGATCTACTGTAAACAACTAAGAAGGTTATCCAAGAGCTGTGTTTGATTTCAAGGAGAAATGTACAGAAGTATTACAAGAAAATGGTAGATTTCTAAAGATAGAAATTAGCATCACCTTAAAAATTTATTTGAAATAGCAAAAACTGTATTTTAGTTGAATGAGTGATGTTGAGGTTTCTCTTACATCGTTACAGAAATGTTCACAAATGTGTTAACCACAATTATAAAAGACCGGATTGTTCGTAAATCTGGAGACCTTGTGAACAGACATAGGAGTTCGTTTTTCACAATTTGACATTTATGGGAATCGAGCTTTTCGCATCCGCGAGGCCACGAAGTTTACGACACGCGGATGATTTATAGAAGCGCCATTCCCGCATGAATGGGAGCACAGTTGCACCTCATTTATATTGTCATGGCCCAGCGCAGCCCAGCAGAGAAGAGGAAGCGGATTTTAACAATATAATGTTAGTTATTTTTTCACGTGCTTCAGCTTACAGCTTTGTACTTACAAAGGTTGCAATCAAATGGGTAGATTATAAAAATGTATGCAAATTTCTCTTATACTAAGCATTCGCAATTTAAATAATTTTATATAGACTTATATGGCACATTTTCTAGTATATATAATGAAAGGACTAAAGTCTAATGATAACGGGATTATGCATATCAACATCAACCACCTTGGGATTTCTCGAGTGCGGCTATTACCGATGTCATAAATAATGCTTTATATTTATTGTAATCAACTTGCATTCATTGCGTTGTGTTAGTCATACGGCGCGGGTTGCGGTGTATTGGGGGCGGTTATAATTAACGTGGCGAACACTGTCCGACGCAAATACACGATGGATTGAAAGGAGATTGCAATAATGCATTTTGATTTCGTATAATGCGATATTTAATTAAAATGATTTCAAAATTGTTCACGACCATTCAATACATACATACAGTAGATGTAAGATGGGTTGAATACAAGATAAAGTAAAGGTAGAAAATCCGTGTTCGGCAAGTAAGGGACACCACAGGCATAAATCATAAAAATTTAACAGGCGATTAACAATTTTTTTACAATCCATATTGACGCCTATCAAGTTTTTTTAACAATGTTTTTAGCAAGATGTAACAAATACTGTTCCACTGAGATGTATAATTTGAGCTCCCACATTTACGGCCATCTGTCACTTCTTCTTTCTTCACGCTGACAGGTGGTCGATTAGAGACCAGAATAGCGTCCATTGATGCCACGTAATCATACCTTTGTGCGTTCGTTTATGTGGGAACTTTTGTTTATTATTTCACAGCCGTATCCATTATATTCTCAATGAAAATCAAACATTGTTTACCCACTGACACTTTAAACCCGCCTGTAGATACGACTAAACGCTTCGCCGTGAACTATTGTAAAACATAAATATTTTAATTTTTACTATCTAATTACTTTTTTCTTATTAATTGCGTAATTTTCCATACACACAGGTCATAATTTCTTATATTATGTACATAATTGTTGCTTAAAAAAATATGTGATAATTGAAGTATCTTTAATTACTTTTTTCATCAACAGATGGCGTGATTAAAAATAGTAAGCCTGCCATCTAGCGTCAGAAAGATAGATTTAAACATGATGCTTTTATCCAATAGATGACACTATTGTTCGAGGGCCTGCCATCTATCGTCGGAAAGATGGATTTAAACATGATACTTTTCTCTAACAGATGGCAGTATTACAGTTTACATGAATTTTCTGCGAAAGGTGACGAGCATAGCTTGCCATCTGTCGTCGGAAAGACATAGGTTGATGTGACTATTCTTCGATAGATGGCATGCTGAGGCAAAATTTCCCTTGTAGTAAAATCTAGTTTTTTGATTAATTCTTTTCTCTGATAGATGGCATATTTCTTTTAGTTTAACTTACCTCATCACAGGCTTGGCAGCGTGGCTTGAGGCGCTCGGAGTAATGGCGGACGCAGTAGAGCCGACCGTCTAGTGCGCAGTACGCCAGCTCTACCAGCAGCTCGTCGCACTCAGAGCACGTGAAACACGCAGGGTGGAACGCCACCTTTGTAATTAATTGCTTTATTGTTTGAGTATATACGAGTAATTACGTTTACTACTCAGATAATGAGTAAAGTTTACCTCTTCACCTATCCTTGGGGCCTGAACCATAATACTTCCACTCCGAATAGGTTTGTTGCATCCCATGCATTCGATAGAAGCACCATGATGCTGGCAAGCTAGACCTATAAGTAGACAATTTCAACATTTAGCAGAAAAATGAAATGTGAAATTTAAACTGTCTTTTCTCAACAGATGGCGCTGCTTACCTATGTCAAGAGCAATTTCGTTTCTGGCCGCTACGAAATCTTCAAACTGCTTACGATGCTGTTCATCAATATGTTGGCAATGAGAGAGTGAAAGATCTTGTTTTGGCAGTTGCATAGCTAGTGCGCGGATCCTCCACGCGCGCCATGCCGCCGACCCGGTTGCGCCCCCTACGCTGGTCGGCGCTCGCTCTGCCAGCGATGCCCAGTATAATTCCGTCTGTAATGTAAAACATTAGCAATAAAATACATATGCCTACAATAATGCAATAATTTCCGATAAAAAATTAAAGTCTTGACAATGAATTATCTGCAAGTTTTTAATACTGTTACTATAGTTGGTAGGTGAGAAGGCCGCGTGCGACGACTGACATTGACTGCACCCAGTTTGGGAGTATTGGCGCTAATCGACACCTGACAGACGTAGTAAACGGTAGTGTTCCTGCTGAACTGGAGGTCGGTTATTTTCGGATATTCGTTTTTATATTTTTTGTACGCAATCTTTGATGAATGTATCGAGGATAAAGCATTGGATAAAACTTTGGGTACGACATGTTTAACGCTATACAAGTACAATTGTTTATACCACGTTGTTGAAAACATTACGTTCAAAGCACTTTTTTATATATAATAATATAAGGTTAATTATGCAGTACCGAACTTCATATAACTGTAACTTTGTTTTGTTGCGGTTTACTCACTAATTTAGAAGAGCTTATGTCTTTTTGAGGGTGAAACGACGGACATTTTATGATATTGGATAATTTTTATTCCAGTGATATAGACGTAGGAACAGATATCTTTTTTTGTAGTCAGCATCAAGGATTATTTCGCTATTATTACCTGCTTGGCGGTGAGTCCGGGGGGGCTGTCGTAGGCGTGATGGTTGATGCGAGCGTCGCGCAGCCCGAGTCGGTCGCGCACGGAGCCCAGCTCCTCGTGGTATACCGAGTGCTGCAGCCGATCGCAGCCGCACGACTTGCATGTCTTCCTGAAAACCATACAACAGATATTAATAAAAATTTGAATTGCTAACAGTTGACGATTAGAGTCATAATTATTTTTTTTATTTTACTACTGTTAATATTGAGTCTTTTCTGTTTATTTATCAGTAACCCTTCGTGTTATGGGTTTGAGTTTAATGGTATGTTGTGTTTATCTTACAAAGTTACATTTCACTAATGTAATGGACTAATTATCTTTGTCTGATAAATCTCAGTACAAGTATCTTTGAGGTGCAATATAAATAGCCCAGACGATTGCTCACAGGAGTCCGCAGTTTGTAGTCTTTTTGTGTAATATTTGATCTACAGCAGGTTCATGTATGATTGAAAATAGCTTTTAGTTTCAAGTTTACGAAGATATATTTGTTTACATTTGTTTTGTCGTTTTAGAATATCAGTTGCTTTTGTGAAAATTCATCACACATAAAAATCAGAATATTTTCACATCGAACACAAACTTTCAAGCTGAATTATTTTTAAAGGATACTAAAAAATAAAGCTATGGAAAATGTTTGTAGGTAATATTGGTAAGAAAAATTAGGGTTGTTACGGTTTTGATACAAAAATGAATCCACATAAATACTGCCAACCCTACAGCGAGGATTCATTTATGCAATTAGCATGTACAAACAAGTGTCATCTATAAATACTTGGTGTGAGCAGGATCGTGGCGTCGTACACCTAATAGGCCGGCGATGTGGCGTGACCGTCCGTCGCACATCAATGCCTGTACTTGACAACTTGAATATGTAAAGTGTGATATCGTTATGCTGATCTGCAAACTTTAATCTACACGATTTTCATTTGTTTTACTTATATAACAATATTCAATTGTTTTATGTCAGTTTGTTTTTAAACTCATTGCCTTAATTTACTAAAAGTCATCAAGTGGTCAAAGGGAATACAATTTGCGCGTGCTAGTGCTACATTGCACTAAGGATACCTTAGTCATTTTTCGATGATTCTGAGTGCGTTAGCTTTACCTAAGAACCCGAAATCACAATACATCAAGGCACGTGTCAAGTTGTTTGCATTAAGATGGGTCGTTGTATGGCGGGTCGGGATGTGACGTCATTCGTCCGATATGACTGAGTGCACATATTTCGCATTATTAATATGATAAGTGCTTTAAATCAATGCCCTGTCGGAGTGAACTCTGAAGAGACAGGGGCGCAGACTGCAATTGTTAAGTTACAATTTAATTAAGGCTATCGCAGATATGAAAACATTACAAAATAGATTTCAATCGAAAAAAAAAAACACGATTATAATAGTGAATAAAGCTCCCAATCTCTATGTAGCATAATGTGTTAGAATTCTTGATTTCTTGTTTAACAATACTCGTGCGTACACGTTCTTACATAGAACCTTGAACTACAACGACAAGCAAATATACATGAACCAGCTGCGGACAGCTAGGCAACCTGGACAATGCCACGCTACCTGCTCGAGTACGCGATACGCCGCCGGCAAATTGCAGACGACCTAAAATGATTCACTCTCACACTACGAACACCATTAGTTTATAAAACATCAAGACTAGTCTTAAAAATTAAGAATCTTAAAAATTAAAATGCCTATTTTCAGCATTCCTTGCGTCTAAATATGAAATATCAATTATTTTAAGTTGCATTTATTAGGTAACTTACAACATAATTTGGCTAAGGTTCCTAAATAACATTACACTCGTTTGTCAGGCAACATGAATTATTTCTTTCAACGGCCAATAAGATCCCAAAATAAAACCGAAGAGGTTGTAAAGGATTTTATTGCTACTTCATGTTACTTATAAAGTTTTTAATTAAAAAAATATATATTTTATGTAATCCTCAAAACTTTCAAAGGTATAGTCAATATATGAAATTATGATAGTATCCGGAACACAGTGTACATAAAACAGAACGTACTCCAAACATCTATTCTGGGGCCGTAGCGCCGCAACGTACCTCACATCCCGCGCTATTTGTTTTCATATCGTAAACACTAAAAGGTCCAAAGGTACTGATATCTATTATACCTCACTACAAATGTAACACGAAAGTACTAGAAATTATTCCCTAATGTAATAGCTACGTAAGGGAATCAAAAGCAGGTTGGAAAATAACCAGATTATAACTATAAGTATTCTAACCCATGGTAATTTAAATGTACTGAACTTTCATTTCATAGCATGGGCCTTGTAAATTAGATAAGATCCATATAGAAGTTTAACGTCCACTATGTCTTGTGGCTTCTATTCCAACCAATGATATCAGTGTCCGGACACACCTGCGGCCTTCGCCCTGTCTCTACATAATGGCTTAACATTTTGATATTAACCTTAAACCCACCTCTCAACTATACAGGGTCACAATTATTCTTATGTCTAGTCGCATTATACATAAGATTTCACGCAACTTTTCTGTCCTTCGCTATTCTTTTCCGTGAGTAATCTAAGTTACTGGTCTGGAAGCTAGGAATACCAACAGTTTACCTGTTTATACAGGATGTTAGAATTTTTTTTTTATTATAGTTAATGCCCAAGTTTCACGTAGAGTAAATTTTTTAAATTTTTGTTTGAACATCCTCTGAATACTTTGCATATAGATAAATAATGACCACGGTGGTTCGTAACAACCGATATGAGATAGCGTCAGTTCCCACGGCATTCGTAATTCGCTTAATTGGTATGCGCAGGCTGCAGCGGCGGCGCCATCTATGATGTCAACGACTTTTGTTATTGCATGCCTTTCTATTAATCCTTTGATTGTATAATTATAGGGCTGACTCTGACGAACATTTAATGGCAATGAATTAAAAAGTTGATTATTTGCTATCGCCGTCATAAAGGGTGATAATTAAGTCATTTAAATGAAAGCTATGGCGGAAAGAATCGTATTATCTATTTGCGAGTATGATTACTATGTCAAAACTTTATTAAAAATATATTTAACAATATTATTAAAAATTTGTAATGCGTGAAAATGTCTTCGACTTTCGTTGGTTCTTATGTGTTGACGTATGAAAACTGTTTCGGAAATAGAACCCCGACAATAATCTATCATTCACCACGAGCCCGTTAATCTTCGAATGTTTGTCGTAGATACGGACAACTGCATTTTGTCACCGAGTCGATTTATTTCTTCTGCGATGATTTGAAGACCGTTACGTCGGTCCGGATTTACTCGATTTAATGTATAAAAAAGTGTATTTTGCATTCTCTCTTCGATTCAATGTTGATTATTGATATCTGTAAATAGTAAATCACGATTTTGTGGACAAATCTAGTAATGAAGAGGATTTATGTAACATCTGCTAAAAAGACATCCCTAGTTATTGTTTAAATACTTTGACTTCCGCTCATACAACATGCAAAATATTTTGGACACAATCTACATAGGTATTAAAGTAGATAACGCGATGGCACACTACGTTGTATCTCACTCATTGCTCTAATTACAATGTTGTCTTCACGCCCATAAAGCACTTGCGGCACACGACGAAAATTTATGAAGATTAACATGAAAATAAACCGAGGTTATTTATAGTATTGGGGTCAAATGAAATAGTAAGTGATTTGACTTTCCAAAGACTAAACACGGCCTAGAAATGTAATAAAATTTTAGAAATATCTATGGTATAGTTCGGTATAAATCTCTTACAATTTTAGCGTCGCAAAGATTTCAGGCATTTATAATTTTTGTATGTATTTAATTCTATTTCGATAGTCAGGCACGATTTAATGACAAAACATTAATATTTATAACGGAGTTGTAAAAACTCCGTTCCGCTCGTACATTTTGTTCTGTTGACACAAGGTTGACACACATTAAATCATAAAACAACGCGATTTAGTTCGGGTGCAGTTAATGCGTCGTGTTGTGGCAGGAACCGGTAACCGCTGCTATTGTTTATGCAGAAGATATAACGCAATATATTCGCAATTTCCATACAAAAATAGGTATACATTTTTGTATAGCAATTCGTAAGTTTATTTGACTGTGCTTAAGTGTAGTTTGAAGTACTAGACTTCTTTGACAGACAAGGAGTTTGCATACTACAGGATTCATACTGGCCACTATGAATAAAAAAGTTAGAAAAAGAGAGAATTGCGCGGAAAACAAAACAACAAAACGTGAAATCATTAAGTTTATGTCTGTCATAATTAGTCAAAACCATGACGTACGAGAACAAGGTAACAAATGTTTCGCCATAACAAAGTTTGTTTATCATTAGAAACACATAGACTGTATTGAAACACATTGCTTTGATGTGTGATTTACGATTGTTTTCAAGCTGTTAGGAAAATATTTTAACTAGCTCGATACAAATTCTATATGGATTTCAATAGGAAATATTCTTCAAGACTTAAAGACCCGTGAATACCGGATTTTTTTATATTTAAATACTTTACCATAGCCTTGCAGTTGCGCACGCTTCTTAAATTTAAGGACTTTAAATGCTTTGCAAAACGTAAATCTCAAATGAAGGAATGACGTAATTAATTATCTAAAGACATGTACACACCGGAGAGAAAACAAAACCGCGGTCGATCACAGCACTCGCGCTTCCAATGAAAACAATCATAAATCTATTCTTAATTTACAATCGTCATTTATTGCCGCTGCCGTTAAACTTCCAGCGGTGAAATCGCCACCAGGGTAATAAATCATCGTTATTTATTTATTTCATAGGCGTTAGAAATACGTGACAGATTCATTTTTCGCGAATGGCGAGTTGGAACAGATCCAATGTGAACTCGGCCTTAGCGAGACGGTTGTGTGGCGTAGGTGCGAAGAAATAGCAGGTGCGACAATGACTGGTTTTGATTAGCCAGAGAATACGAGGGACGTTAAATTTAATAACATCCTGAACAAAGCGAATATAAATTTTAACTACGTCATTATGCTAACATAAAATTCCTTAATGTTTAAAACTATAGCAATATAACATACAGTTGTATCAGTTTTGGAGCACCCTGTTGTATTAAACTTTCACTTCGTAACAC